GGCAAGGTGCCAGGGGTTCCCCATTCCCCTTAAGGGCTATCTGCCCACTGCTTTTTTCCCAGGTCCATAGCCAGCGAGCTGGATTCAGAAAGTCAGAGCCAGCCGAGAACATGATATTGGGTGCCAATTATCGGGATGGCCAGGCATTGCAGGTTAGGATCTTTTACCCTATTAGGCCAGAAGGCCCAGCCCCCCAAGCATCATCTGTGATCATACTTAGACAGCTAAACCTTGTAAAGGAAAAGAGGCACTTCTTTGTGAGGGCTGCCATAGAGCCAAAGACCTGAATCAGTGTGGGAACAAAAGGTCCATACGTCGTCGGTAACGTCTTAGACAGTTGAAATAAGAATATTTAGGATATTGTCATACACTTTTATTAGAGGATATCCTAAGTCTCCGGATCACAAAATGGATATCCAGGGTACCTGGGATCGTCATTTAAGGGCTAAAGAATGCCAGTAGGTGGAAGGTACATCTATTTGTTTTCTTTAGTGATAATATAGGGAAGAAAGCAAAATGTATTAACTGATGGTGAGGCGGAGGGGCAGAGACGAAGCACCGAGAGGGGGCGGGAGCCAGGTCACCCTGCACCTGCTGAGAACCACGGTGGTGGTGGGGGATGAGCAGGCGTCCCTGGACTGGAGGGTGGCCTCTTTCCTGGTTCTCCAGAGGGCCAGGCGCCTTCGGGGGAGGGGGCTCCCCAGGAAAAGAGTGGGCAGGCCCAGGTCTGCCCAGCCCCTTCCCTCCCTCTGCCCTTGTTCTGGAAACTTCCCCAGCTTGCCCAGTGTCAGGGCATCCCTTGCGGACCCTCCCTGCACCCCATACACCTGCCCCAGCTTTCTTGTAAGAGAAATTGTGATTTCTGGATGTCATCCTTTTCATAATTTTTTAAGACGACTAACTTGTTTTGAAAGTTTCAAAGACAGAAGGGGAGAGGGAGGGAGGGAGGAAGAGAGAGAGATCTTGTAACCACTGGCTCACACCCCAGATGTTCGCAATGGCCAGTGGGCCAGGAGCTTCATCCTGGTCTCACGTGAGTGGCAGGAGCACAACCTCTTGGGCCAGCTTGCACTGCCTTCCCAGGAGCATTAGCAGGGAGTGGGATGGGAACTACAGTAGCTGGGACTCGAACCCGCACCCATGTGGAATGCTGATGCTCCAGCAGCTTAACCAGCTGTGCCACAGGCCCCAGCCTTTTAATAATTTACCCCAAATGGCCTCCTTGTGGTTTGCTCTTTGCCGATCACTGTGTGGGTGGGGCAGCCCCCAGGTAGCTGAATGGTGGTGGCAACACCTGGCCGCGCCAGGTGTGTCCAAGAATCTTGGGTTCTGGTGCTCGGCTCCTGGCCCCCTTGCCCGGCCCCTACACCCCTCTTTCTGCTCTGCCTGGGTTTGCACCCTTTGACTAGAGGTTGGGTTTTTGAGATGGATCGGTGGGGTTGCATGGCAGTACAGCCCCTTGGGTGCGTCTGCCCGTTCCCCCAGACCTTGTTAAAAGCAGTGAACATTCAGAAATGCTAGGATTGCCGAGTGAGCACTGATACACCCCACCAACCGCGCGAGTGACGTTTGCCGGGCTTGCTTTCTCACACACTTGTCCGTCAGCCTGCATTGTTTTGTTCTCCTGCTTCATTTCCTAGCACATTGCCGACGTTGGTACACATCTCCCTTCATCCCTCCGTCACCCGTATCCTCAACTACAGAGGATTTTGGGGGCTGCACAGCCGACTGAGCCTCGGCCTATGAGGCCAGCGTCACATATCAGAGTCCTGGTTTGAGTCCCGCAGCTCCACTTCTGATCCAGCTCCTTGCTAATGGCCTGGGAAAGCAGCAGAAGATGGCCCAAGTGCTTGGGCCCCTGCACCAACATGCGAGACCTGGAAGAAGCTCCTGTCTGGCCCAGCTCTGGCCATTGTGGCCATTTGGGGAGTGAGCCAGCAGATGGAAGATTTCTATCCTCTTTCTCTCTCTCTCTCTCTCTCTCTCTCTCTCTCTCTGTAACTCTGCCTTTCAGATAAATAATTCTTGAACAGAAACTGGGGAGGATTTCCGAGGCGACTGGATCATGGGGTGGTTGACGGTTGTGCGCACCGCATAGCTCGGACCCTTGTACAGGCATGCGACTGCGGGAGCCGAGAGGGCGGCCGCTGGGCATGTTCGAACGGCCAGTGCTTGAGAGGCCTCACTGTGCAGGGCCGGCTTCTCCCTCACGCCAAGCCAGAGAAATATTTCTAAGGAAACCTGGTCAGAACAGGGGCCATGGCCCACGGGGACCCCTCTCCGTGGGACTGACCTTGGGTGCAGGGCTGGCCCGCGAGGGCCCCGCCCTGAGTGAGCTTCCAGTCTGCAGAGAGCCTCACCCCCTGCCCTCAACATGTTTAATCTATTACGATGGACACTTTTGCAAAGTATAATAAAAATTAACTACTGGAAAATGGACCCTAAAGACACGGGGATGCACGCCAGCCGATCCCGCCTGGCTACCACAGCAATGTCCGAAGTGCCAGGAGAGCTGCCACGGGCTTGGTCGCAACGGCTGTCCTTAACGCATCTAGGACCGGTGCCAGGGGGACACAGGGCCCACGGACCAGGCCCTGTGGAGCTGGGGCCTGGAGGAGCGGCAGCGGCGAGGGGAACCTGGACCTGCCCAGACGTGGGATGGGAGCCAGAAGGTTCCCTGCCAGGGTGGGAAGGGACCAGATAATGCTGGGAAGGGGATGGAGCGAAACGAGCCAGAGAGCCCTCTGCGGGCGTGCCCCGAGTCGAGTGGTGACCACATCCACACGAGAAGGCCCCGGCCTGGATGAAGGAACGGTGTGTGGCGGTCAGACACGATTGCTGGAGGAGGCCTGAGTGTGCGGCCTGGCCTGGGCAGCCAAGACAACCCGAAGAGAGATGAGAAGCGAGGAGAAGGGCTGAGAGGTACGTGACCCACTCTGCCAGGCCAGGCCGGCGTCCAGCAGGAGAGGCACCGCGTGGGCCCCAGCCCAGCAGACCGGTCGGGGTACACGCATGGCTCTGGAGGAGTGAGTGGCAGGCGTGCACCTGTGACTGCGGCAATTTATAAAGGACAGAGACGTGTTGTCTGCAGTTCAGGAGGCTGAGAGCCGGACAAGGGGCCCGTGCCTGGCGGGGGTCTTCTTGTGGAGTCATCATCCCACGCAGCAGGTGGGGACACGTGGGGGAGGGGAGAGACAGGGGAGGGGCTGAGCCCCTTCTCTCATCAATGCCCTTCTGTGGCACGTGAACCAGTGACAGCAGCGCCCCCTGGGGACTGAGTTCCCAACACCTTCAGGACTGGACCATGCCTTGCATCTAAATGTACCCCCGTAAACCTCAGGAGAGAAAGCAAAGGACGGGTGATGGGGAAAACGGTCCCAGCTCTCGCCAGCCCCGCAGGCGAGGCTACTGTGACCGCACAGCTCACGCCCGGCCAGCTGGTCCCTCGAGTGCGGAAGCTAAACAGGTACATTCCCAGCCACGAGGCAGCTCCGGAGAGCCCCTCCCAGGCACCCCTAAAGAGCACGTTCCAGGGGTACGCCGCCGCCTGTGACGGCAGCACCCCACGTCACAGCAGCACTCTGAGTCCCGGCTGCTCCACTTCCAGTCCAGCCCCCTGCTGTGGCCTGGGAAAGCAGTGGAGGACGGCCCACGTGCCTGGGCCCCTGCACCCGCGTGGGAGATGGAGATGGAGTTCCTGCTCCTGGCTTCAGTGTGGCCCAGCCTGGGCTGCTGTGGCCAATTAGGGAGTGAACCAACAGATGCAATCTCTCTTTCTGTCGCTCTGCCTCTCAAATAAATAAAAGGTCAATCTTTTTATTTTTTTTTTTAAGAAAGCAAATAAAATAAACCCAGGAAAGAGGCCGGCACAGCACCTCAGGAAGACTGAAATAAACCCAGGAGGAGGAGCACAAGGGCCACGATAAAATAGCCACACAGAAGGCCTCTGCAAAAGCCAGACCCCACCCACACTCTCTCCGAGGACCCTCGCTGGCACATGAAGGCCCAAGCCACGGGAAGAACTGGAAGGACCAGTCATGGATCTGCGTGGGGCTGAGTTGTCACCTGGATCCAAGAAGCAGGGAGTGGCGGGGACAATGGGCGTGTCTCCTCATCAAGGCCCTCTGTCCACACCCATGACTCTGTAAGAAAGCAATCATTTCTGTAAGAAGCATGTGGATATGTGCACGCATACGTGTGCGTGTGTCACGGAGCCATAAAACCTGGACAGGGAGCCGGTCATTTCATTCCCTGCTCTCCCCATGCTCCGCTTCTCATTCTCTGGATGTGAGCGCGGTCACAGGTCGCTCTCAGCCAAATGTGTGTTTATGGAAAGCCTCTATTTTATCTGGAATTGATCTGTTGCTCCTCTGGGTCCTCCTCCGTGCAACCCAGTAATTTACGTTTTTGCAGGCAGGGCTCTGTCTTTGCCACAGCTGCCTCTCCCTCTGCCTTCCCACGGGGTTGGCATCTGAGGGCACAGGAGAAGCAGAGCCCACAGGGCTGGGCTGGGGGCTGAGAGGAAGACCGGGGTCCTGTGGCTCGGTCCACACCGCGCCTCCCACCCTGTACTGCGGGACCCACAGTCTGCTGTCTAGGCATGGCTGAGTCTCCGCTGTGTTCTTATCCAGCCCCGAGGCCCACCTGCAGCCCTTGCCGAGGGACCCTGGAGTGCCACAGCAGCTGTCACCCAGGTCCAGAGCAGAGATTTCCCACGGCCAGCCAGACAGGCACAGCCGGCCCTTGACTGGCCCCTCTCCATCTGCATCGAACACGTGTGGACCACATCTCCTCGGGGGCAGCTGGGAACAAGAGCTGCACCCACGATGCATGCACGCAGCGTGTTCCTTTCCTTGGCCCCACCCCTTGGGAGTGGGGGTGTGAGCTGCCCACA